AAAATGATCAACAGTAAAAGTTCTCCTTAAAATTCCCAATTTAAAGAATCATATATTATTCAAAATAGTACTTAACTACCATCTCTGGGTAAATGTACTTAGTTACATTCCAAAACACATTTTTTTAGGTTCACAAGATGATTAGCCTGTTCCCAAAGCTAGAGAATTTAGGGAATTTTAGGCCATAAAATGTTACAATTCAAGCAAACTTGAATATATGAATACTCTTTTGCATAGACTCAGAGATGAAGGTAGTTTTGTGGTTTTATAAGGATTTTAATCACCTAATATGCAAACCTCTCGAGACCCAAAACTTATTTTCATCCCAGTCATACACAAAAGTAAAACCCTGCTGAATGTACTATGGAAATAATAAAATAAATCTTGATATTGCCTCCCCTAGCTGTGAGTATTTCTTGGAAATTAAAATAGTCTTCTATCAGTCAACATCGTACTTTGGCATGAAAGTGTAATCCTTAACTATAGGAGTAAAATGTTAAAACATTTAAGCAAAAAGGTCCATTTGATAGCTCAAATCCATAGATGGAAACATGAACTTACATTATTCATGCTAATTAGAAAACACTTCACAATTTAACAATCTGGGCTATTAATGAATGAAGAAAGTACATCTGATCCCGCCTGTTCACGTTCTGGGAGATGACTACGTATAGAAAGAATGTTGATTAGCATGGGAATGTGTTCTCTAATGGGCCGTCCATGACCACAGTGCTATGAGTCAGGCCAGGGCAGGACAAAGCCTTCTCTTTCAGGATTGGTCCAAATCTCAATGTGTCTCAAAGACACTGCGGCATTTATGGGAAATGTCTGTGGCATTTCACACAGCGAAGACTTGATGTTACAATACAGACATCATTTCTCAAACATCATTGCTTTGGAGAGGTTATAGAAAAAAGGGAATGTGGGGCCATTTCACCCATCTTTTTCTTGTAAGATTGCCGATCGCTACCTATCGTATGCTAGTTAATTAAAACAAAAATGTCTAGAAGAATTTGTATTAAATAGGAAATACAATTTCTGCAAGTATACCTGGTACATTGGCTGTGGCCCAAGGGTGGATGGGCGTCTACCTATCAGAAGGTAAGTGGTTCGACCCCCATCCCCTGCATCCAACATGACATGAAGTGTCCATGGGCAAGATACTTAACCCCAACTTGCTCCCTTCTACAGTATTGAAGTGTATGTAAGTCACTTTGGATAAAAGCACAAGCAAAGTCAACAACCATCTATCTATCTATCTATCTATCTATCTATCTATCTATCTATCTATCTATCTATCTATCTATCTATCTATCTATCTATCTATCTATCTATCTATCTATCTATCTATCTATCTATCTATCTATCTATCTATCTATCTATCTATCTATCTATCTATCTATCTATCTATCTATCTATCTATCTATCTATCTATCTATCTATCTATCTATCTATCTATCTATCTATCTATCTATCTATCTATCTATCTATCTATCTATCTATCTATCTATCTATCTATCTATCTATCTATCTATCTATCTATCTATCTATCTATCTATCGATCTAGCTAAGTGTAATCCCAGAGGCTCAAAACTGTCTCCAAAACATTTTCAGGTGCTCTGGGCAGTGTCCATGAACCCCATGGTATGTGGGTCAAAGTTGACTCTGAGTCACGTTTGATGAAATTCGTGAGTCACATACTAACACTTTGGCTTATATACCGGGGCTAAGTGTCAGGTAAGGTCAGGATCTGGGTGAAAACACAGTTTCAGGTGTCTAAATGAGAAAATATGAAGCAAAACGTTACCAACTGTTCTGATTGGCTGATGCACTGCTCCACTAACTTACTATAGACCTGTGTGTATGCTTTTACTCAGGTGTCAGTGAAGACAAGCTGTGTTCAGTGGATCTGTATGTGTGTGGTTCAGTAGATGGGGGTCGGCCGTTAATCTCACACACACACAGACACACACAGACACACACAGACACACACAGACACACACAGACACACACAGACAGACAGAATGGAATTCCTTCAGTTAGCCAGGCCCCCATGACTCAGTGAGTGAGTCAGGACAAATACATGGGGAAAGAAAAGTGTGCTAACAAATGTGGTCCTCCCAACACTGACAGTCATTCATTTCTTTATATTCATATTGCAATGCATAACAAGGACCTGCATGTGTGAATCTAAATGGGTAAAGAGACAGTCAGGTATGTGATGTTTGTGATATGGGTCTAACTATGTTCGTTACATAAAGTACATTACAGTGAGCCACACTGCAGTTATGGGTTATGTGTTCCTTAATTACATACATACTGCTGCCAAAAATACTGACTAGAGTACCAAACATAGATAAATCCGCTGCTGAAAAATAGCCTCTAAAAAAAGCACTTCCTCCTGATGGTAAAATCTACAAAAAACTACAGTGACCAGATCTTTCTGGGTGAAAGGAGGTGCTGCAGCACAGGCAGTATGAGGAACATAAAGAGCTTTTTGAACATTAAAGCATGGAGACATGTCACAGAAGAGGCACAAAATACAAATATGTACTGTACCTGAAAATAAGCAGAATAGAGCCCCTTTAGACCGGTATTTGTGTAATATCCGGTGTGAGGCCTCAAAGCAAGGTATCAAGCTATTAGTTTGTCTAGCTACTATGACTTTTGACATTTTTGACTGTCATCCGATATCAGATCAATATCTCTGCCTCAGCAGAATTTTGTAGCATCGTCTGTGCATTGTGGGACGAAATGTCCATCGACATCACTCAAGTGACTTTAGTTATCAACAACAACAACCGACAGACAGGAAGCAGTGTTTACCTTACAACAAGATTACAATATTCCATATCATACACCATATGATTTCATCAACAGCAGAGACCACCTCAGACAGTCAGTCCCATCACCAAAACAATGTTTATGTATAACAATGTTAAAGTCTGTAGAATACTGTTTGTGGCTGTAGCACCACCGTTTATATTATAGAATGACATTTTGACATTTCTACAAATCCTTATTTGATAGTTATGGTAGAAGTTATTTGATGTAAAAATGTTACACTCTTCATAGTCCATTAAAGCAGAACTTAACTGTTTATGTGAGAATACTGTAGCTGTTAAGGTCCTGAAATGTTCAAATCTTCTCAACGCCATGTAACACATTTTCTTTACCAAAAACCAAATCAGTCATATTTTTGATCTGCTCCTTTTAATTTCAGAGTTGATTTCAGAGGCTTCAAATAAAACTATACTAATTACCAGCTTTATTGGGTTTACATTTAAGCCAATTATTTTCCTCCTAAATTCAAAGATAACATTACGTCTGAATAAAGAGTGAGAATAAGCCGACAGAACACGGCAGCGCTGTGCAGTCAATGGGAAAGCTCTGAACAACACTGAGTCTTATTTTATATTAATTACACACTCATTACTGCCGTGTAATTACTCGTTTCACACACAGTGCTCTGCTCCACAGTATTTCACTGTCTGACACATTCCTGACTGTGTAGTTACCCCAAACACACACACACACACACACACACACACACACACACACACACACACACACACACACACACACACACACACACACACACACACACACACACACACACACACACACACACACACACACACACACACACACACACACACACACACACACACACACACACACACACACACACACACACACACACACACACACACACACAGTGGTATGACATGAGCAGTGAGCCAACACTGACGCAGGAGCTTTTAAACAATAGCAGGGAAGGACTTTTCTTTTTTCTTTGGATCTTTACTCTAACTCCCTCCTCACTAAACCGTTATTCTCTTCCTGCATTCCTCCAGTCTCATTCTGCTTCACTAAATCAATGTCATATTCAATACTCGCACATATCATCTCGTCCTGCTCTCTTCTTCCTCTCTCTGCTCTGAAGCATGTTTCCCTCTTCCAGCCCAATGATTGTCCTCTAGCCATAAAACCTTCATTTCTCCCCACTTTCCTCTGAGTCAGCAGAAAGACAGACCACGGCTCTCTCTCTCTCTCCTTTCTTTCTTTCTTTCTTTCTTTCTGCCATCAACCAGACGACGGCCCCCGTGCTTTGTTTTCCGATTCTGATAGAAAGAAAGTTTAAAAGAAAACAAGTGTGTTGTGTCTTTAAGATTCAGAAAGGAAAGCTCTTAAGGGGATTAAGGGAATTGAGTCACAAACCTTTCCTAAATTCTGCGTCTACTGTATGCAACCTAGATCTGTCCCAGACACTCTTCTCAGAACTGATTTTGAATGTTTTATTGCTTGTATCTAATGACATAGGAATTTAAATCTCTTCAAATGCCTTGCATAAAAGTGTTTCACTTACGTACTCAAACTATTTCCACAAAAAAACAAGATGATAAGAGATAAGCACTAGAAACATGATGATTGTTTGTCAACTTTAATCTGTTGTCTGCACATTCCTTTACAGGACAGCAAAAGTCAGAGTGTGTCCTGACTTCAGACCCCATTACCACAAATAAACAAACACAGACACACACACACACACACACACACACACACACACACACACACACACACACACACACACACACACACACACACACACACACACACACACACACACACACACACACACACACACACACACACACACACACACACACACACACACACACACACACACACACACACACACACGTACTCCCTGCTGAGAGCCAGCAAAAGGTAGGAATCCGCAGAATACATGTTAACTTGTTTCCCTCTCCTCCCCCTTCTTCACATTTTCCTTTTCTTCATACTCCGACCCCCCCCCCCCCCCCCCCCCCCCCCCCCCCCCTTACCTCAGTCCCTGCACAGCTGGGACATAGCAGGTCCTGCTAAAACACTCACACACACATACTGAGCCACAGGGGGATGAAGGACCAGACAAACACCAAAAAAAGGCACAGGACTTTTTCTCTCCCAGGGATTCAGCTTCTGTCACACACACTCACCAGATAGTTCATTTTGTCCCTGCTGCAGTGAGGCGGCGGTGCTAACGGGGCAGGGCTGTAGCTCAGCCCCTGTGAGACACTTTGCCAACTCGATCCTCAGCACAGAGTAGATCCCAACAGATCCCAAAAAGTCCTCCAGGTCTCCTGCTCCGCCCTCCTTTCCTTTCCCTGAGTCCTCCCTCCTGTGTGTGTCTCCTTCTGCCTTGTTCAGTCTTGTTTTCAGCAGTGGAGCAGACCCCGACGCATTCTGCTGCTCCGTGATCTCACACAGCAAGAATGAGACTGCTGCTTGGCCCATTTACTTCCACCCCGCTCGCCCCCTTCTCTCTCCCTTGATCTCCCTCTCTCTCTCTTGCCTGAGGAAAAGAGGGAGGAGTGTGTAACCCAACACGTCACTTCCTGCAGGATCCTGACATTCCCTCTATCCAGTCTGGCCATTGGCCAGAGGAGCTCTTCTCATGTTCTCATGAGCTCTGCCCTCCCACTGTCCCATCCCTTCTCCCCCCTTCTCTCTCTCTCCCTCTGGCTGTGAGGGACGGACAGTGCTGCCCATGAGCAAACAGTAACAGCTAACTGTCTCTACCCTCAAATTGCTGGTCCTCCGTAAAAACTGCCTTAAAGGGTCACTAACCCTAACCCTAACCCTAACCCTAACCCTAACCCTAACCAACCCAGGGCTGCTGCAGAACAAAAACTGGTCAGATAGTTTCCGATAGTCCCTCTTGTCTCTCTTCTGCCATTCTCTTGCACTATTTTATTTCTGTTTCTATTTGCACTATTTATATTTATTGTTGATGTCTTAATGTTTATTGTATGTTGCATTGTTGGAGGAGTCTGGGACTTGGGAAACTATGCTGTAGCTATTGTGCATATGACAATAACACCTCAGAATGTTACCAATGTTTAATAGCACTTATAAATGCATACTTATTAACTGCTATTGCAACTTCTTAAATTACAGTGACAACAATTCAACAGTCAAGCAAACAACTCAACAAATATGAGAAATAATTATTCCATTATACCTATATCTGAATCTGAAGTGAATTATACATTAAATGTTACCTTGAGTTTCAAGAGAGCAGTTTTTACAATGGTATTCCTTTGAAAATGTTCAATCAGCCGTTTTCCTATAGTTGATGCCAAATATGTATTTGAATAAAGGTCAGCAAAAATTATTAGAAGATATTGACGCTTAAAATTAAGTAAAAATTGAATGTTGCAAAAAGTTGACTTATAACTTTGCTGGAAACCACTATGGTAGACCTACAAAGATGGGAGTTTTAATGATATTTGGAACAATACAGTAACCTGCTGGATATTATTGTCCGATTTCAGCTGTGAGCATAATATCCACATATACATCAATTAATAACACAGTACTATAATACAGATGTGCCAAAAGGTTTGTTTGTGTCTCCATATATTTTTAAATATGTCCATTAATATCTTTCTCACAAAGTCATGAGTTAATGAAAACAAAATGAATACCTGGTGATATACTGTAATTTGATTGGACTCAATAATTCAGTTTTGGTCAGGGTACAGTGAGAGTGCCATTAAGGAGTCTTCATACCTGAGTCTTTACTTAATTAACCAAGGACATATTTAGCTCAGTGAGAACAAGTTGGACTGCTGTATTATGAGACTGGAGCTCATGAAATTAGCCGCTTTCACACCAAGTACTTTGCCGTACTTAGTGCCGGCACTTAGTGCCCCGGCACTTATTACCCCAGGGCAAAAAGTACCAATCGCGTTCACACCGGAGTACTTTTCCCTGAGGGAAGATTACGCAAATGAGCCGCTGACGTCACTTTGTCTTCTTCTGCTTTGGGTTTACTGGCAGGCCGCAAACAACTTCACGGTGTATACTGCCACCCGAAGTCCCCGGCCGGAAGTCCCCGGAGTTGGGGACTGGCTTCAGTAGAAGCTGCTGGGACTCCCAGCAGCTTCTACTGAAGCCTTCCGAGTAAATCGCCAGAACGCCGACACCTCATCACTCCACCGCTCCCATGTTTTTTTTTGTGTTGCCATAAGTTATTCTCTCTCCGTTGGTGCGCGGGACTAATGCTAATGCTAATAATGCTAATGCCAGCAAATACAATGGCGGCTTCAAAAAACTTTTCAGAGTTTTACGGGGCGTGGTTTGCAATTCGCCCAGCCAATAGAAATTGATACTTTTTTGGTACTTTTTTGGTACCACCTCTCTAGAGGCACTGAAAATGGGGGTAAAAGTTCCCGGCACTAAGTACTCTTTTTGGTGTGAACGCGACATCAGGGGTACTAACGGAACTAAATGGGAAAAGTACGGGGTAAAAGTACTCCGGTGTGAATGCGCCTATAGTGACATCAAGAAACTTGTGAATCTCAGCTCCTATCTCTGACCCCCAACCCTCACACAGACACACTATCAAAGGTTAGGTCCTTACTTTCTGAGGGTCGTCCACAGGACAATTGAGGGGGTTTTCAACAGGAGGTTTCTGAATGTGCTGCTTGTTTATTTTCAGTTTGAACCACTAACTGGGCCCTGAAGCCATGTCAAATATAGATTCAATCAAAACACATCTTTCCCTTTGATCCACAGTCAGTGTTTCCCAGCACCATGAAAAAACACAAGAAGAAGATATTTGGTCTGGTTTTTCGGCAGTGTTTCAGAGTGAATAGAGAATTTACAAAAACTGCACACAAAGGCAGATTTTAACCAAATTAGAGATTATTTAGTTCTGATAGAATTATATACTGAGGAATAACACTTCAGTATATTCTGTCACTACGCAACCGCCAAACCCCATGAGCGCTATGCACCATCAATAACAAATCTGCAGTGCTGCTTGTATTATTCATATTCAACCAGAAAAGTGGAAATAAGTAAGGCAACAGAGGAAAAAGTGAAAATGGAATAAAATGGGGGAAAACACAGGCTGTATACTCTGCGAGACTCTGAGAGATGTAAAGGGGAGATACAGTATACTGCAAGTGGCTTTAGAGCACATTTGAATTAACTGTATTTTTAAATGGCTCTGGGGTTATTCTGTACAGTGCTTATTGTCACACATTGCACATTAACACAATAAAAGAATATGTTACATTTCATCAATTTTCCTGAGCAGTCCCTTTTGCAGGTCAAAAGGAAAGGCACAGTGACTTTGCCAAAAAAACTAAATACAAACAATATCTTGATTTAGGACGTTGATACTATGGCTCAACGCCAGTCAACTCCATTACCGTCTCTACCAATGTGTCCTAAGTCCTGCACAAAAAAAAGACTAGCAAGCTCTTATTTTTGTTTGGGTCTAGCAACCGTTTTAACTTGGTGTAACCTTGCGTTATAACAAGTTAACACGTAACCGGTCGGCACCAGGACTAACTGGACATTTTCCAGCACATGGCCACATTTGACTCTCCAATACTTTTATGTCAGCCTTCTGATTTCTATGCCTAAGGTGATCAGCACAACTTCACAGGTAGTGTCACAATGAGCATCAGAAATAGTGTGAATAGTTCACATTCTCATCTCTGATCTTTAGATTTTCGTGAAGTTTTGCAGAAAGGTTCAAATTCGGTAAGACTTCTGACATTGCCTAGGTCCGACCTTTGAATTTGTAATTGGCTGAAATGATCCGTCTGGCATGAAAGAACGATTTCTCGGTTGAAAAGCAATTAAGCCCATCAGCGACACAAGGCGTGACTAACCCTGTTCAAGCTGTGCGTTGTAGAGGGCATCATGTCCCGACATCACAGTTTATTTTCACTCTATTCCGCTCCACTCTTTGCCAGAACAATCAAACATCTCGAGTCATCTCGGTCCAGTCGGTGAATTTAAAGGTTTAGACTCAGGCAGGGCCACTTTTAAAGACCAGGCAAAACTATTACGTGGCATGGCTTTTGCATTAGTGTTGATCTTGAATGTTGTTCGATTCAGGAAGGTACATTGGTTTCTAATATTCCAATCCCCTCCACGAAAGCAAATTGGTTAAAATGAAGGCAATGTCAGACTGAAGACGGAAATGGAGTGTAACTAGTTGACAAATCTGTCTGAGAGCATGCTAATTCTGTCAAGAATGTTTAATGATATGATGAAGGTCCACCTTGGTGTAACAGGAAATGTAGACATGCCAAACTGCGTCTCTGGGTTTTTTAGGACAACAATGAAGCTCTATGCCACTGAGGAAGAAGATGTCAGGCGTCGATACACACAATAGAGAATGCATTTACCTCTGGTTTGTGGACAAGAAGAACATTACTGAAAATTGCCAGCAGTGTTCTCAGACGGTAATGACTCAGGATTAAAACAATGGGGTGCTTCAACACAACACACTATGATTATACTGTAGGTCCCAGCAGTCAACAGTCACTGTCCTTGAGTAGAAAACAAATGTTTTGGTTAGATGAATGAACACTAATTTACAAAGATAAAAAATAAAGCATGGTTTTATCTCTAAGTAGTTTTGCCTGTATCAAATGTAGGATGTCCAAATATGGCAGTGTACCCTATGGTCCTCCCTAATATTTGAGGAACAGAAGTCACTGTGTGTCGGATGCCAAGCAGAACATTCCTCACACCTACACACACACTTCACCCTGCCTGACCGGGGCTCTGCCCTCTCTGAGCAACGCACTGGACAACAACAGCCTCTGTCACACTGACCTACAAATGAGAGCAAAAACAAATGCTTACCACACACACACAGTCATAGAAGAACAGAAAGCAGTCATAAGGATAAGGAGGATAAGCGATATAGGTCAATGTGAATCTGAATATGGTAATGGTCTCACTGAAGAAGTTTCTGTCTTCACTCTCAGTTCAGATTTAGGACGTCTATACCTGTACCGAAAAATTATGATGGAAAATGGACAAACAATCAGCTATGATGTGTGTCTGGCTCAAATCTTTGTGTTGTCTCGCAACAAAGAAGCACCTTTGGAAACATTGTGTTTCATTGTATTGGTGGAAAAGCGACGTTGAGAATTATGAGTCACACATAAAACAGACAAAAGATTCATAGATTAGCTAAGCCAAACATGTTAAAATGCAACTAAGAAACCAATGTATTGATGGTTTTCTGCAGTAATCTGATCGAATCTCTCCAGGCCTTGAAGGTCTTTGAATACCAGAAAGACACAAAGACACAAAATGTTGCTGACTAAGACTATTTTGAGACCAACATTGCATTAACAAATGCACCCCCCCCCCCCCCCCCCATGCATTTCAATGAGAGCACTGCAGTGGTGCAGTAAACCTTACACAAGAGTTCTCCAACAAACCAAAGGCAAGTCGCCAAAACTCTCATTGCAACTCAGTAGAATGCCCCCGTGTTAGCCTATCAAATACATTC